TGTGATTGTCCCCTAGGGTTCTATACTTCTGACCGAAGAGAAGCGTTCACACGACCTCTGCCTGAGTTGTGCCTTTAAGGAGTCATATGTTCTCGAAGCCGATTTCTCCTCATGAGCCATTTCTTTGAGTTAGCGAAGAATTGCGTGGGGGATCGAGATCTACCTGGGGCTGTATAAGGATGCGCTCAGAAGAATATAATAGTACCAGCTAATATTAGTCTCAGTGGGTGAAACTCCAGTTCGGGGGGGGGGGGCACTCCATTGAGCTCTCCATTACTAAGGTTAACTATAGAAGTTTTCAAGGTTTTGGAAGTTTCTTCTGGTAAGAACCGGTGTAGTATGGAAGTACTCTTATGGTGCTTCCAGATTTTAGCCTACTGTTATCTAAAGCGGTCCACAACTGAGGTGGGACACCTTTTCTAGGCGGAGGTGCGGCAGCCCAGGGTGGACGATCACATGCCATAAATTGCCTAGGATGTGAGCAGGATGTGCGTGATGTAGGGCATACACCGGTCCTTATCAAAAGTGCACTTGAAATGAGTCGTTTACCTATTATCTTATCCATAGGGTTGAAGTCCAAAGGAGTGCTCTCTAGTACTACGGATAAGATAACATGGAGTGCCCCGAACTGGAGTTTCACCGGCTCAGTGTTTTTACCCTCTCAGATCTGGTATCCAGTAACCAACCCCACGGGTTAGTGGTTCAGTTGATGCGGTCAAATCTACATAGCTGGTTCCATGCTGGGGCAATTCCTATTACTTGCTCGCTACTTGCCATTGTCGGATCTTCACCATGGCAGATCCTTTTGTGTTTTGCTATTCACATACACACGTAATGTCCTATTCTAGCACACTAAACCCGCCGTTCTCTGAAAATCGCGGCCATTGTAATGGAACGACTACACGGTTGAGTGATGACGTCGTCCTCGATCCTCGTGCTGTTCACCCATGCATGTCATGGTGTTAGCGCGAAATCCCTTTCTGCATAAGGAATTCTTTGAATACATGAGGTTTCGACGGAAGCGACAAAGTTTTAGCAATTATCACATTTCATTTGCTGTCGTGGCAAAGCCGTTCAAGTTGACTGGACATTTTTTCGAAGCCACGCTTCTGGAAATGATACATTTGTCGCCAAGGGAACGGAAATTATAACAATACGGAAAGTCTCCGCTATTGAGAATGCCATTTATCTTTCTCCAATCTATCACGTTTTGTGGGACTAAAGGGATTACTTATTTGCAAAATGACGGAAGCCAAAGGGGATCGAATATTTATATTTATTGATATCGAATATTTATTTTTATTAAATTTTATTTTGCTCATAGGTACGCCATTAACACTGCTGCGAATTTAGCAAATATAAAAACAATGAACGACAAAAAATAAACATTGAAGAATGGGATAAACAAAGGATTTAACAACAGTCATATTCTTTAGTGCAATAATAAGGAGCTAGGAGAGATATGAAATAATACATATAACGCCACTGCAGATGCCCCCATCAACCATGTTCGATGCCCAACCTATTTATTTATTTATTTATTTATTTATTTATTTATTTATTTATTTATTTATTTATTTATTTATTTATTTATTTATTTATTTATTTATTTATTTATTTATTTACGCGATGTGTACAGCATAAATATACTACGCATCGCAGTACATTATACGAAGAAAATTTTACCATTAAAATTAGCATTATTGCGAGAAATTAATGGAAGCTGCTTCAGTGGAATTGGTCCTCACACTAGCTAAGAAAGCGTTGATAAGCAAGTGTTTACAGGAACTGCTTATGAGGAGGGTTAGAAGGAGGACAGGCCGAGGGCGAGGGTGGGCTCATTTTTATGGCAGGTAGGCAATGGCCCCCAACACTGCAGCCGCAGTTCTGGGTCAGCTTTAGAGGTGCCATTCTTTCATTTCGATAATAAGCTCCCAGCGTGTAGTGGCTCTTAGTAGGACTTTAAGATGTACTCGTAGCTCTGAGGCCAGATCCTGAAGTACGCCAACATCTGCATAAACAATGCTAACCCTGAGCGCTGACAGCCTTGACAAAAACTTCACGTTTCATTACAGAAGTCGAAAGCATGGCGCAAACCTTTAGCCACGTCAGACCACACAGGTAATAACTGTTTCCTCTTCATTGGAGCTTAGGTTATAAGCTAAATGCATCAGAAATGCACCATGGGCGGATGTGGCGTAATGGCAGGTGAAGCCGCTTAGCATGCAGGCGGACTAAATACCCTAGGTTAGGTTTACCCAGGTCGTGTTTACCCTGAGTCGCACGCCGTCAAAGCCAGCCAAGTCCTCCATCCTTCCAGAATCGGTTGATTGACACCAACTTATCTGGAAGGATAAAACCCACAGACTTGAACAACTACTGGCCGCAACTGATTTGTTTAGGATAAATCGCATTCAAAATGTTATTATGATTGAGCCCCAAGTAGAACGCGTGGAGCATCCCAAGAAAGAGTGATCAACGCCAAATATTTGGGGCTCATGCTTTTATTGGAAAGCGACCGACAAGTACATTACACTACTATAACAAATGAAATTCAGTGCTAAAAAAGTTACTAGTGAATCAAATTTGAGTTGAGTGACGTAGGAGGAAAAATGATTAACGCAGCCAAAAGAGATCACATTACCCTGAGCATGAGATTTTCATACGAGCACATAGAACGTCGAGTTTTGAACCGGAAGTGCTTGCTATGAACTTTTTCTGATCATTCACGAGCGCAGGGCATTCTGATATGAGGACTCCTGTACTTCCGAGGAAGTAGTCGTTTGACGTACAAATGAATCAGCGTAATCAGCGTCCTTCCTTCTCTTTACAAAATTAATATTAGCATTTGAGCTATATTTGCTCACAGTGATTCAAGAAATAGAAGACAAATTATATCGTTATTTCCCATGACTTCCTCAAAATACGACATGCATTCAGATTCTGTCCATCATCGTAGTGGTTCACAAATGCGTGCGACCTTAAAGGCAGGATCAGGAATGATTAGGGCGAGAGAGTTTCGATTGAGCGTCGAAGACGTCATTGGTAGGGCCGAGACCAAGGGGTGTGATCTATGATGTGGTCGGGACCACCAAGGCAACTAGATAAAGGAGTCACCTGCACGATAATGCAAGTGGTTATAGGGATCTTGAGGCTCTCTGGCCGATACTGATATCCATTCGTTTCAGCAGCCGTCAGCAATCTCTTCTAACATAGCCTTCCTCATATCTCTCGGTTATCTGACCACTAACACCGCATGCCACTATGTGTTCCTCTTCCAAATGTGCTGTTATTTCCTAATTTGTATCCATATTATTTCTCAATTATAGCTTCAGTTCCTTTGTATTTCTAGCTAGAACTCCCACCCGCCACATGGCCCTACAAGGAGTTGGCGGGACCTACTAAGGAGTCCGTTGGAGTGAGTCTATAGTTCAAAGAGAAAGTCAGTGTAGGGGAGCAATGTCTAAGGTGTTCCCAGCATACATGACGTTGGCGGAGGCCCGCCCACAATGGGCGGGGCGCGCTCTGAAGTGTACAGCATTTTCTACAAGCCCTCATAATTCGGGTCGGGGAAGTCTTAAAGAGCCGGAAAAAGGTGGATAGAGGTGTATGGAGGAGTGGAGGCCAAATCAGGGTCAACCCTACGTTGTTACGAGTAACAACGGGGGGTCGTACCTGGTTGAGTTTGTAGGAGGGGGGGTCGTACCCACTTTAGTCGCTCGAAATCACGTGTGGGATTGAGGAGAAACTAAGATTTCGTGGGTAGTAGGCTGTGCGAGTAGAGGGCGCGCAAGATAAAAATTTGCCGTTTCAGCCGGCGTATATGTTTGTTGACATTTTTTGAAGCTTAACCCATAACGGACGGCGTGCGCCACAAGGTGGCGCACGACTATTTCTTTTGTTTTTGGAATGTTTCTAGCAATCTTAATATACCCATATATACTCTCAGCAATGTGGAATAACATATCTTCCCAGGACCTGGACGGCTGGATTTTTGACAAACCTACAATAAATTTTACATACATTTTGTCTTAATTTACATAAGTTTACTATTTGATGGGTGGCTTACCCATGGTTCGCACGTCCCGAGACCCCTTCCCCTAAATATAGCCACATCCTTGCTCGGGGTTGTTGTTTCGCATTTTTCGATAATGTCACCTACAGCTTCCATTCATTCTTTGCACCCTAGTTTTAGAGCGGAAAGGCGGGCTACGAACTTGTCGTCAACGGAAATCTCTTCTTTTGGATGATGAGACTCCGACACCTACTTTAGCCCCGTCTTACCCCTGCTGTTCACATAAGCCTACATAAACCCTACCCTGGGTGGCGGCGTGCGCCACATGGTGGCGCACGCAAAATACACTGGCCGTCCGTTATGGGTTAAAATAGCGTCACGAATGCAATTGGGATTGCAGCCCGCGGTTTTAACTCGGAGAGACTATTTTTTCGTGGTTTACTTGGTACTTTTATGCTTCGAAACCGCTCATATACACATATTATCAGATCCGCCAAACATGTGACTGGTAATGCAATAGCTGGAGAGTTATTGATGGAAAAAAAAAATTCAAAAGAAATGAAGTGAAGCACATAACGGCGGTCGTCAAAGGGTTAATACTGAATAAAGCAGACAGTTCTCATAAACCAAGTAAAGAGTGCCAGTTTTTGATGAAAAAATGCGACAACAGTCAACGACGACAGAACCACTACAGCGCCGATTCGGCCTTTAGTTCTAGTGGTATGTAACGGATGTACAGAATTCAAGCTATATAGCACAACTAAGCGAATGACTCATTGCAGGAACGATTGTCCTTATTTCTTTCACGCATAGAAACAGTTTTCCTCACCACATGCTTGTCATAGTTGTTGAAAAGGTTTGCGATATCTTTGCAGCGTACTGCATATTTCAGATCTGCCTTCTCATCCTGAAAATCCCGCAATGGCCGCCGTTAATCCATCAACAGCCGAATGTGGTTAATATGTATATATAGGAGCAAAACTATCAATTGAGGATACCGACAAGGCTTAGGGCACCATTGTGCTTCATTGGTACCTTCTGCATGTCAGTATCCAACGGGGCTTTCTTGAAAAGGACCCCTAGTTTTTTGAAGCAAAGTCTGCGTATGCCTTAGACTCGTGGCGATCTCCTGGCCTTCTTATATTATCTCTTCCGGTCAGCAAAAAAGCGGCTGCCGATCAATACATGTTAAAATTTCCGTAGAGAACTCCAGAGGCTCAGAAAATACCTTTAATGAGTGTTTCGGAAATTCAAGAAATATTAGGTCGGTCCATAAGTCTTGCAACAAACTACATTTAATGCTATAGAATTTTAGGGAGAACTCCTGAAAATCCGCAACATATTTCCTGACGTAGCATCAACCTTTGCAATTTCAGCCAACGGTCCAGCTCGTTGTCTGCTTACTTATTATGGATATTACACCGATTTCGCGAGAGGGCTCTCGGTGCCCTTAATTTTTACGAGTACTGCTTGGAATGTTCCGCAAGTCATGCTAGACCAAGGATTGGCCAGAAGATAGGCGAGGGCAAGCTCTCTCAAACCACAGTGCAACGGCGCTTCACTCTGCTCAGCGTTGACTTTTTTATTTGAAAATAACCCACACTCCAACCACCCTGTGACTGACAATCACGATGCTCTATCTGACGGCGTTGAAAAGGGATCTGGATAGAGTATCGATCATTTGCTAGAGCGATTCCGATGCGACAAGGAGACAGCACTGTGGCATCTCCAAAGACTTGTGAAGATCCGAAAATGTAGAGTTTGGTCCCCACGTGCCTTGAGCCCGATTCAGCTCCAAACACGATCTGACACCGTTATGTTCAAGTCGACTTACTAGGGATTCTACGATTGACCATCCATCACATTTGCCGAAGATGAGGAGTGGGTACAGTTTACTAACAAATGAACAAGCGGCGGTAGTCCAGCTCAAACGCTTCGGGAGATCTTATTGCTTAAGTTCAACCTCGTCCAAGTAGGGCCTTCTCGGATTTTTGGTGGAACACGGGAGGAGTTAAGCTCTGGAAACCCCCCGTGTAGATGTCGCAGTCAACGCGAAAGTCAACTATCCACAGCTCGAATGCAACGCTTTTAATACGAAAGAAAAACAAGGCAAAGTTTGCTTTTGTATGACACCGTTGAAAAACCTCTTGCTAAGAAAATTCAGGAAATTTCGAGACTCTGGGACGGAGAGTTCTTCCGTATTCACGTTATAGCCCTGACCTCGAGGCAAATAATGCCCTTCTGCTCCCCTCTCCAAACCATCTCCTAGAGAAGAAAGCTCATCCTAACTATGATGATGTCAAAATCGACATCTGATCTTTCTTCGATCAGAATTCAGTAGAGTCCTACAAGGGAGGCATCGAGCAGCTACTAGTGTGTTGGCAATAGGTTGTAGATATTGATGGAGGGTAGCATGCCGGATGAATGGAACAAAAAGATAATGAAAATATTAAATTCAAAATTCGGCCAGTTTGTTGCAAGACTTATGGACCGACCTAATATTTTCAACCATGAACTTTTTTGAAAGCCGCGTGTGAACCAGCAGAACATTTGTGCTGAAAAACCAAGCCCTGCAAGTGGAGAGAAGGGCAGCACTTTTCAAATAAAGCACATCGGTTGAAGCCCTCATTTGAACTCTCGTTCGGTATGGTTCCAGGTGGGCATTGCTATACAAGGGAGGAGGGGGCTATAAAAAACATTTTGTCTCCAGGCTCAAAATGGATTGGGAATCACATTTTTGCTGTTTGTTGCTTTTCAAAGCGTATGCTCCCAACTTGGAAGTTGAAGAGCGCATTTCATTTCATAAGAAAATCTTCATAGTGGCCATCTACGTGGACGGCATCAGAAAAGTTTGCCCGGAAACATGGTGCTCTGGTCGAGCTCAATGGGGTTCTCGACTGATCGTGTACCGTTACGACGGGTTCCGAAGGGCGGGTTCCGAGGGGGTTTGCATAGTTAGAGCTAATGTCCCTAGGAAACTATCCCACGTTGAATCGATCCAAGAAATTATGTAAGAGCTTCAGGCTGAAGCAGTTACTGTAGGCCTCCCTGAGCTCGACGACGGTGACAGATGACGTCATATTCTGAAGACGGTGAGGGTAGTGAAGGGGGCCTGCGTGTACTTATAGAGGGACATTTAGGGAATATTTTGCTGAGGAACTTCCGTCAACGACGGCAATCTCTGCGAAGAAAAAAGGCCGAAGTGCGACCTGGGCAAAATGTCTTTTTTTTTGCCCCCTCCCCCCCCTGTAGAAGACCTTGGATCTGACGCACTGCAATGACGAGCAGTATAAGTATGGATATGTAGTAATGAGAAAGGCGGGGTACTTGAAATACTTGAAAGCCGACTGACACAAACCTCGGCGTATTTCGTCGACGAACTGCAAGGAAGTAGAACACACACACAGAAAGCCAGGGAAGCACAAATTTGGCAAAGCGCGGCGGCTACTGGTTTTGCTGGGTTGAACTACGAGTGGTGGTAAATGGAACTGAGTGCCTTTATGGCCACCTCAATCAGGTGGACAAACAATGTCGCCGAGTCAACGCCGGTTGTTCAGAAACAATGAGTGTGTCAGATGCGGAAACCTATACATTTTTGCCTTCCCTCTATCCCGCTCTGGAGATTATGTCAAATTTTTTGAAAACAAATGATTAGAGACCAGGTTTTCGGAATAAGAATTACAGTGATGCTGTGCTTCGGGCAAATTTCCAATAGGTGAAAACCAAACCAGGCAACTGCGCTGCGATCACATCACCGGGACACCGTATTACCTCGATGTAATAGGGGAAAACGTCCTCGCACTTCGAGGGGTGTTGGCTCTCAATGTGGCTTGCCTAGGGGCAGACTGTATTGCCCATAACCCAGCGTGTTTGTAATGAGTTTCGCCTAGCGAACTGTTGCCAAAATTAGCAGCTAGGAAAAAAGGACATTCGGTTCGTGTTTGGAATTAGAGTATAAATTCGGTAACCGAAAAATTCCCTGTGTATGTAAAAACGTCATTTTCTGAAAAAAGCTATTGATGTCTAGATATTGTAACTAGAACGATCTGGAAAGCTGCCACTAAAAGCAAACTGCATCATCATCGAAGTTATTTGTTCTCAGCTTCCCTGTTAACAAGAACAAATGAATTCGATTTGATGATTTCAGGTTGATAAGCTTTGAGAAACTAAGAACCATCCACAAGCCGTCTCTTTGCACTTGCTCTCAGCGTCCGGAATTGCGACAAAAATGAACATGATCAAACTTCAACGAGACGCTGCACAGCTTCGAAAGAGATACCCAGCCACTTCGACAGTTGACGGTGCGCTTGGCAGCATACTACGTAAACAAACACTCTGAGCGTAGACTAGTTAACTTAGCAGTCGAAAAAACATTACCCGAATTGAGTAACCCGGAGTGAAAGTCGAAAAAATCCATCCAGTGCAAGCTCTGCGCCAAGGGCTTTGACTTTTAGCCGCAGGTTACGAGTACACCGAGGGATAGCTTTGAGTCCTTGCTCTACCTGCTGACTCTGGATACCATGGCGAAGAAACTCGTGGCGGAGACTGACGATAATTATTCCCGACCCTTAACATCGCCCTGATACATCACAGTACAGGAAAACAGTAGTGGTTGCACAAATAGTGTGGGGTGCCGGCATTAAGCCCGTAGGCTCCGAAGTGCCTGGGAGTAAATCATGGCCGGAGCGCGGGGACTATCAATGAGAAAGTGAAGAGCTTCCGAAACCTAACTGAGAGGGGAACTCACTGAATTCACTGAAAATAGAAATCAGTGGCTCACCAATAATAGCTTTGATCCTACATTTGGGGCTTAAATAATGCTGTAAAGGTGGATCTCCACCTACAAATCTACGGAGATTTCCCACGATGCTCTACATATTCTGCAATCAACCGTGCTCTGCAGTTCTCATGCCAAAGCTATCGCTTCCTGTCAAAATAGGTGACCGGAGTTCGTTAGAGCCACTCCACTGTAATCTTACCTCTAACGCTAGAGGCTGCAGCGCAGCCGCCGAACGAGGGAGCTGGATCAGTTTTGAATGGTGCGATAAAACGATTCTAAGTAAGGTGGATGGGAGCTTTCGTGTCTCAGGACTAAGACTAGAAGGAGGAAATAGCTCTTATCTCTCTTAGGGTTTATGGTTAGTCCTAGCTCTTCCACCGAGATAACACCAATATGGTGAGGGAGTACAGATGAGCTGGCCAAATAAGTGGCTCCCCCAACTCCACCACAGATTAATATGTAGATAGACCTCAGCTGAAGGCGGCTGAACAGGGACAGAAAGACGACTTGATGGCCGTGCAGTTGGTTTCTGTTCAGCCCAAGCAGCGGCACGGATGACCCAGAAAATGTTAAGCAAACCAGGCGTTAGGATTATTTGATGCAAAAAACCTCAAATATGGATTGATGCAATTGGAGCAACAAGTCACGCAAAGGCCGATACTATGAAGAAAAAAGGAATGACGTGAGCGGGTCGATATACATACAAAGAGAGGATGGCACTGGGATATGCAAATCAGCTGGCGCATGGCCATCCAAAGACCCGCTTCTGAATATCGCCCGGTTCACGCGCACGACGGCCTATTGAAGGCCATGCGCATCGGAGACCGTAAAGTTGCGTTTTTATCGTGAACGCAGCGCTAAAGCCGCCGACGTTTACTCAACGGTATATTTTCCATTCAGTAGAGAAGGTAAAAAAAGCGAGGTGCATTGCAGAAGGAACAAACGAGTACACTACAGCGAATGACTGACGTCAAGGCTATTAAGGCTACGGTAATGGACTGCGAGAGTGAAAAGAGTGAATTGTGCCCCGAACGGACGCTGCGATGACGGCGCAGATCGAAATGACCATAATGCGCCCTTGATGGAAGGGGACAGTGAACATGGGCTGAATGGGCACAGTAGGCGGGGAGTCAAAGGATTGACTGGTTCAACATTATTGTAAAAGTTTCACAAGAATGCTGGGTTGTGAACAAAACTTTCGCCCCAGGCGGGACTCGAACCCGCACCTCTCGCTTACCGGGCAAGTGCGCTACCAGTTACGCTACCGGGGCACCATTTCATCCAACTCAGCTTTTCATGGTATACTTACCATACTTGTAGCGCACTTGCCCGGTAAGCAAGAGGTGCGGGTTCGAGTCCCATCTGGGGCGAAAATTTACAAAAATTTCTTGTGAAACATTCGCAAGGCGAACTGTGGCCAAACAACAATTAGCAAACAAAAACAAGTCATCATTGTAAAGGAATAAAACCAAAGTTGGGGGCAAAGGGTAAACGGACTTCATAGCCTGGGAAGAAACCCACCGCCTACGCACTACCACATGGCTTTTCGGTGAGAACACGAAACCGTCCAGGGTGCCGCACAAAACATGTATACGAGCTACACCAAAAGAATCTTAATAGCAGGCAGAAGGGTGTTCGCAAACTCATATACACACACTTATTAGAACTACAGGACGGTGCTATAGCTATTCCTGAGACATTCGTCAGACAGCCACGCTCGGGGGCGACGCCTTGGGAGGATTATAATGTACATGGCACAGGAAGGAAATATTTCGTGGACAGACAGACAGACAGACAGACAGACAGACAGACAGACAGACAGACAGACAGACAGACAGACAGACAGACAGACAGACAGACAGACAGACAGACAGACAGACAGACAGACAGACAGACAGACAGACAGACAGACAGACAGACAGACAGACAGACAGACAGACAGACAGACAGACAGACAGACAGACAGACAGACAGACAGACAGACAGACAGACAGACAGACAGACAGACAGACAGACAGACAGACAGACAGACAGACAGACAGACAGACAGACAGACAGACAGACAGACAGACAGACAGACAGACAGACAGACAGACAGACGAAGCGCTTATAGTAAGTAGAATTGTAGTGAATTGAGTCGGGAAACCCTCAAATAGGTATGCCGCGAGAAAAAAAGCTTAGGGGGGCAGCGCCCCCTTAAGCTCAGCTCCAAGAAACTACATGAGTAATTAGATAGCTACTGGAAGCATCTGCATAAGCAAATACTTACGAGCAAGTACCTACCGATTATTCTGTAGAAGGAACGTCAGCAATGTCAACACCATTAGAAAACACAAGCTCTCGAAAACGTGTCTCCTAAGGCAATGTTTACTTTGCAACTGGTTCGAATAACATGTGGTGGTTTCAAGGTCCACGCAACAGTGAAAACCACGGAAACATCGAGGGAAACAAATATTCGCTTCCTTACACACTTCATTCGATCTGGTACTAATCCACTAACTGGTTTTTCACTTCGCAACTGAGAATACTGTGCATTCGAACTTCTCATCCTTACGTCATTGACATAAGTTGGTTCCGAGCATGTTCAGTAGGGCGACTGATCTGAGCTTTGACTGAAGCCAGAAAATTTTTGTATATATGCACGGAAGCACGTACTTAAATGCGTTTGCAATTTCGCATCAAGCGGAGTGCATGGCGCATTTTGAAATAAGCTAGAGCCACCCGATTACACACACATTATGCCATTGGATACCGAACTGTATTCTGAAATAGCGTCATTGTGACTAACTATCGGTTTCACTGGGGTACATTTATTGTGTTGTCCCATAATTCCTGCCCGAATTTCGACACTTTCTTCTCATCGAGTTTTATCTTTCTCAAAAACCAATTGATCAAAAATATAACCATTATCATAATCACCGATATGCATCCATTCCCAGGGAACCTTTGGATGCTTTCCTCCTAGAATAAGTGAAGCTATGAGCTGAAGAAGAGCAAGGTCGTTTCTTGAGTGGTTGTATTTAGCCATTCAAGAAGAGATGTATACCACTAGATGTGCCTTTGAACGCTGATCTCAAATCTACCTTCCAAATCTGCTAAACGATTCTCTGAATGGAGTTATGAAGCAAAACAGCGCAACGGCAGTGGTCGGGATTTGCAGTCAAAACGTCGTAGGATCGGCCCCTGATCGCGTTTACTGTCTTGCGTTCTTCAGGAATTAGGCTAAATAGGCTATAAAAGCCTTTTAGCTGTACTCCTGAAGAAGGCAAAACAGTAGACGCGATCAGGGGCCGATCCTACGACGTTTTGACTGCAAATCCCGACCACTGCCGTTGCGCTGTTTTGCTTCATAACTCCCTTCAGAGAATCGTTTAGCAGATTTGGAAGGTAGATTTGAGATCAGCGTTCAAAGGCACATCTAGCGGTATACATCTCTTCTTGAATGGCCATGGCGACCTGAGAGCCTTTCCTTGTTAGTAGTTGATAAGTGTTTGGAAAGAAAATCACCTTTTGAGAATTTGGACCACATCCTCATCGACTAACACATGCTCCTTACCGACCCGTTGTGGATTGTGTTTTGCCGACGCGCCCCACACCAACGCACTGAAAATCGAACGTATTCCACCGTATTTAATCAAGAAATAGCTATGTTATAACCAGCTCAGT